GGTATAATCTACTCAGGCACCAAAACAAACAAACGAACAGAATTTTTCTTCCCCAGTTTTCACTAGGAAAATTTCGTGAGCTATTTGTAGAAAAATTCTATACTATTTTATTATTTAAATCAAATAAAAGGCGGGATTGTGTACCCTCGGGAAAACATAGATTAGGGAGTGGAGACCCTATATCTAAAATCATCAACTAGGGAATGGAGACCATATGTTAGAAAAACGACTAGCGAGTGGAGACCCAATGTCTGAAAATCATCAACTAGGGAGTGGAGAACCTATGTTGGAAAATCATCAACTAGGGAGTGGAGACTCTATGTTGGAAAAGAGACTAGGGAGTGGAGACCCTATGTCAAAATATCATCAACTAGGGAGTGGAAACCCTATGTTGGATAATCATCAACTAGGGAGCGGAGACCCTATGTTGGAAAAGAGACTAGGGAGTGGATACCCTATGTATAAAAATATCAACTAGGGAGTGGAGACCCTATGATGGAAAATCATCAACTAGGGAGTGAAGACCCTATGTTGGAAAAGAGACTAGGGAGTGGAGACCCTATGTCTAAAATCATCAACTAGGGAGTGGAGACCCTATGTTGGAAAAGCGACTAGGGAGTGGATACCCTATGTCAAAAAATCATCAACTAGGGAGTGAAACCCCTATGTTGGAAAATGCACATAGGGATTGGAGACCCTATACTACCATGATTTTGAATTTTCTTTCTTTTCATTTCATTTTTTTTATTGAGAGAATGAGTAAAATGCAGGAAAGAATTTGGAGGAGACTTCCCTTTCGGAGTGATTATTGTTGCAGAAAGTCTCTGCGCAGTTTTTGTTTGCTGCACCTGCTTCTTGCAAGGTTGCTTTGAATTACACCCGTTTCCTGTTTTTCAAACAAAGAACAATTTGTCACTAATCTCGGCCCGACTTCTTTGATGAAGATCTCAACTACAACTACTTGTTCCCTGAGGACCGATTTTATTTCTGGCCCTGGAGAAGCTTGGATTTTCCAGAACATTACCATGATGGTTAATCACATGGGACTTAACATTTTTCAACTTTATTTCGCCTTCGAAGGCCTTTCATTTTGATTTCCTTTCTTTTCAGGAGTTTTTGATTTCAAAGCATCAGCCATCATGGCCAGTCAAAGTCGACTCGATGCACCTGCCGAGGCCGGGTGCCTTCTTGAATATTGGCTCGTGTCAAACAAAAGCGTGTAAATCAATCTTGCCATCCCTTCTTTGTCTTAGTTTCAGAATAGAATTAGACCGAAAGGGATTCAAAGAAAAACAAGCGATGTAATGGACAAATGAATTTAGACGAGAGGTATCCCTTTCGGGGAAAAGAAAGAAGGACTTATCTGGAGTGCATGCGGACTTAAATGAACATGACATGCCTCTTGGATAGGATTCCTGATCGGTATAAACCGTCCAACTCCTAAAAATTCATCAAAACCTATGCCTTCAAACCCAGAAACCTTGCCAGGATTCTATTGATGCCGATGGTTGTGAGGATCCTCTTTTCGATTAGCGGCGCTTTTTGCGGGTTTTCACCAGCTGACCTCTCTTATTTCTCTTCACGTCGTCGCCTTATAGTGCTCTTTGCGAGTTTTCACTAACAAGACTCTCTCATTTTTAATTTCTCTGCTTACCATCACCATATGGTGCCCGTGAGGGTTTTCACTGATAAAACTCTCTCATTTTATTTCTTCACATTTGGTGGCAACAGATCCAAGTAACTGTATCTTCCAATTTGAACATGTTTGCCAATCGATCAGAAGGACTTGAACAGGGTTTTGGGGGTAAAAAGGATTTGGATTGAGTTGCGACTTTGGAACCTTTGGGCGAAATCATCGTTGAACCATTATAACTTCTGCCCTAGTTTCAACTTTGGGGAAATATGGGTTTTTGTTTTGGTGTGACTGAACCCCAGAGAGTGGTTGCCTACGTATCCTTTGGGAATCAAGTCGAACGTAGTTCAAGGAACTTTGTTTTTGATTTTTTTGTTTTGTTTTGTTTTCTCTTTCTTTTCCTTTTCTTTTTCCCTTTATCTTTCTGTCTTTTTTTTTCAATAACACTTTTAGGTTCCAAAGAGGGTAATCAAAGAAAGGGAACCGACTCAAAGGGTTTGCAAGGGTTGGTAGTGTTTGGGTAGCGAGAATGAAAGCCTTTATCATCTCAATCGGAGCATGTTAGAGTTGTGTGAAGGGTCAAATGTAATACCTTTTGACTGCATCTGCATTGACGGTTGTCTCGAGATCGTTCCCTTCGATGTCTCCCAAATATAGCACTCCCCTTGGCAATACTCTTCTTACAATGTAAGGACCTTCCCAATTTAGAGCGAGTATTTCTTTCGCTTCTTCATGATGTGGGAGAATATGTCTCAGAACGAGTTGCCCTACTTCAAAGTTTCTAGGCCGCACTTTCTTGTTGTAGGCACGGGCCATTCTTTGTTGGTACAACTGCCCGTGGCAAACTGCAGCCGTTCGCTTTTCATCAATCAAAGTTAATTGTTCTAACCGGGTCTTGACCCATTCATCATCCTCGATCTCAGCTTCAACAATGATTCGAAGAGAGGGAATCTCAACTTTTACAGGTATTACGGCTTCTGTGCCATAAACCAATAAATAGGGCGTGGACCCAACTAACATGCGCACGGTTGTGCGATATCCCAATAATGCAAAAGGCAGTTTTTAATGCCACTGTCTAGAGCTTTGAATCTTTTTTAGGATCTTCTTGATATTCTTGTTTGCAGCTTCAACGACGCCATTAGTTTTGGGCCGATAAGGGGTAGAGCTACGATGCGTAATTTTAAACTGTTCGCATACCTCCCTCACCAAGTGGCTGTTCAGATTTGCAGCATTATCTGTAATGGTAGTTCTAGGAATACCAAAATGACAAATTATGTTGGAATGCTCGAAATCCACCACGGCTTTCTTGGTGACGGCTTTGAAAGTGACTGCTTCAACCAACTTTGTGAAATATCAATGGCGACCAAGATGAATCTGTGCCCATTTGAAGCTTTCGGCTCGATTGCCCCAATGACATCCATACCCCATGCAATAAATGGCCAAGGGGCTGATATAGGATGCAACTCTGAAGGCGGTGTATGAATCATGTTACCGTGTATCTGACACTGATGGCACTTCCGGAGAAAACTGAAACAATCCTTTTCCATGGTCATCCAGTAATAACCTGCCCAAAGGATTTTCTTTGCAAGGACATATCCATTCATGTAGGGCCCACATACTCCAGAATGCACTTCGTTCATGATCTTTTCAGCTTCTTGGGCATCTACGCACCTCAAAAGATTCAAACTCGGAGTTCTTTTGTACAAGACTTCTCCGCTCAAGAAGAAATTGCTGGCAAGCCTTCTAATGGTTCTCTTTTGGTCTCCACTGGCCCGCTTGGGATATTCTTTTGTTTTCAAAAACCATTTGATGTCATGATACCATGGCTGAACATCTGGTTCTATTTCAATTGCATTACAATAACCATGTCTTTCTCGAATTTGGATTTCCAGCGGGTCAATATGGACATTGCCCGGATGCAGCAACATTGAGGCCAAAGTAGCTAGTGCATCGACTAACTCATTATGGAATCGAGGAATATACCTAAACTCGACGGACTTAAACCGTTTGCTAAGATCTTCCACGTGTTGCTTGTATGGGATAAAATTGATGTCTCGAGTTTCCCATTCACCTTGAGCTTGCTGGATAATCAAGTCAGAATTTCCATAATTAACAATTTCCACATCCATGTCAACTGCCATATTCATACCCATAATGCAGGCTTCATATTCAGCGGTGTTGTTTGTACAGAAGAACTGAAGCCGGGTTGTGGCCAAATAGTGCTGACCAGTGGGCGAAATCAAAGTTTCCCCAATCCCGACACCTTTTGCATTTATAGCTCCATTAAAGAAAATTTTCCAAGCATTGGTGTCTTCTGGAATTACTTCAACTGAATTTACTTCCTCGTCCAGGAAGTATGTACTTAGGGGTTGGTATTCATCATCGACCGAGTTCTCAGCTAGGTGATCCGCCAAGGCTTAGGCTTTCATCGCCGTGCAAGTGACATAGACTATGTCAAATTCAGTGAGCAGGGTTTGCCATTTTGCTAACCTTCCCATGTGCATTGGTCTTTGCAATATGTACTTTAGAGGATCCATTCTAGTTATGAGATATGTGGTGTAGGCCAACAGATAATGTTTGAGCTTCTGGGCGCGACCCAAGTAAGGGAACAACAAGTTCTTTCCAACAAAGTGTACTTGGCTTCATAACTAGTGAACTTCTTGCTCAAATAGTATATGGCTTTCTCTCTCTTCTCGGTCACATCATGTTGCCCAGGACACAGCTGAAAGAATATTCCAGGACTGTAAGGTACAAGAACAAAGGTCTCCCTGGCTCGGGTGGAACCAACACTGGCGGATTCGATAGATATTCTTTGATTTTGTCGAAAGCTTCTTGACACTCGTCTGTCCATCTGATTGCCACATATTTCTTCAACAACTTAAATATGGGCTCACACGTGGTTGTCAGTTGAGCGATGAACCCGCTGATGTAATTCAATCTTTAGCAGACTCATGACCTCTTTCTTGGTTCTTGGAGGTGGCAAATCCCGAATAGACTTATCTTTGTTGGATCTAACTCGATACCCCTCCGACTGACTCGATACCCACCCATTTTTCTTGCGCTCATCAGCCCATTTTATGTTGGCATTTGTAGCTTGGAAACCTACGCCAAAGAATTTCTCATTGGCGGTCAAAGTGATGGGCTCTGTGATGCCTTGTAGAGATACCCCGATCTCCTTTCTGGGCTTGTAACCATGTTTAATAATTTCAGTGGCTACCATGACTGATGCATTTGACAAGCAAGGTTGAGGAAACGGGCCCCCTTCTTCACATTGGTCGGCGACTACAATTTCGAATGCTTGATAGACAATGTGCTCACTTCCTTTTCTAGCTTTAAGACACGGGGCTGACGGGTCGCTATAAATGGACTATTCATCCTCCTCGCGGACAACAATTTCTTGGTTTTCATATTCAAACTTGACTATTTGGTGGAGAGTGGAGGGCACAACCCTTGCAGCGTGAACCCATGGTCTTCCTAGGAGAAAATTATACGAAGTATCCATATCCAAAATCTGGAAAGTCACTTCGAAATCCACAGGGCCAATGGTCAGAATCAAATAAATTTCCCTTATTGTGTCTCGCTTGACTCCATCAAAAGCGCGCACACAGACATTGCTTGGTCGAATTATTTTTGTTCCAATTTCCATCCTCTGAAGCGTTGAGAGAGGGCAAATGTCAAACCTGGACGCACCATCTAGCATGACCCTCTTCACATAATAACCTTCGCATTTGACAGTCAAGTGAAGGGCTTTGTTGTGGGCGGCTCCCTCTAGGGGCAAGTCATCACGGCTGAAAGAAATCCTGTTGACTTCGAAATCGTTTAGCCATTCTCTCCAATTGTTCGACTGAAGTTTCAAACAGGACATATGCCTCATTCAATGTTTTCAAGAGTGTCTTTTGATGTTCATTTGAGCTCAACAGCAGGGACAAAAGCAAAACCTGGGAAGGAGTCTTCCGGAGTTGATCAATTATGGCATATTCCGAAGTTTTCATTTTTCGGAAAAACTCTTCTGCTTCTTCAGCACTCACAGGCTTCTTGGGTGGAGACTGTTTCTCCTTGTTCAATTTTGATCTCTTTAGCTCCTCTGGGTTCTGGTCCTTCCCAGATTGGTTCATTTCGTTCACCTCCCCCATAATCTCTTTCCCCGTGTAAGTGACCACTATTTTGCTATAATTCCAGGGGACTGCAGTGGGGTCTCTCATAGGGCTCTTTGGTGCGCGGCTGATAACCACGGGCTCAGTCAGCCTTGGTGAAATTACCGGCCCCTGTGCCACATAAGTCCCTTTTGGCACATACAACTTTGGTACATTCACCGTGACTTTCCTTTACTCAAATCTTCTGGAAGTGTTTAACATGAGCTGCTCTTTCCTTGGGGCCCTAGGAACATAAAGAATTGCGTCCTTAGCAGATGCTTCCCCAACTTTTGTTTCCACAGCTTTTTCTGCAACTTGAGGAGTTGGAGTTTCTTCTTCTCATTTCTAGCCTGTTTCACCGCCGCTCTAGGTCTTACCTTCGAATCGGCAATGGTGATGATAGCTTTCAAGGCCGGATCAAACTGTTTATCATCACAAATCATTCCAATGATTGGCCCGTTGTTGTGAGCCGGTAATGGATTGTTAGTCACATTAGGGACTTCCTTATCCCTTAGCACGACTTTTTTCTGTTCTATCAAATTCTCAACTGCCCTCTTGAGAGTCCAATAATCCTCCGTATTATGACACTCTACCCCCGAATGATAGGCGCACATAGTACTGAGCCGGTATGATGGAGATTCCCGATTTTGCTAGTTTGGAGGCACATGTTGCAATAGATCCATCTGGATTAATTTCGGAAATAGGCTAGAGTAGGACTCACCAATAGGCGTGAAGTCGTTTCTTCTGGGAGACTCACGTGGGCGCGTATTATGTTGGTAGTTATTTTGTAGTGGACGGGAGTTATATGGAGCTTGGTGATGATGGCTATTTCTTGGAGGTGGAGCTCTGTTTTGGTTGTAATGCTGTTGTGGCCGTGTATAGGGCTGGGCATTCTTTAGCACATAAGGAGGCGGTGCCACGGCATATGCTGCATCTTGATAGGGGTAGTAGTGTTGTGGGGTTCTGGGAGGCAGGTAAGAATGATCACGTGATCGACGGGAGCCTCTCGAACTTGAAGCCATCATGGCTCCTTCTTCCCTCTTCTTTCGATTTGCTAAACCTCCCGAGCCGGTCTGGATGGCTTGTGAAGTGGCTCTCAAAGCAGATTGACTTATGATTCGGCCAGTTTTCAGGCCATTTTCTACCATTTCTCCGATCTTTATGGCTTCTACAAAAAGTTTTCCCATGGCAGACATTATGTTCTGAAACTAATCGCCCTCTTGGGCCTGCAAGAAAACATTTACCATTTTTGTCTCATCCATTGGTGGTTTCACTCGTGCTGCTTGATCACGCCACTTGATAGCGTATTCACGGAAACTTTCCGTGATTTTCTTCTTGAAATTGGTCAAGGAATTCCTATCTGGGGCTATATCGACATTGTATTGAAATTTCCTGAAAAAATCTCGGGCTAGGTCGTCCCATATATGCCAATGGGAGATGCCTTGGTCCATGTACCATTCTGACGCAATTCCAGTCAAGCTCTCCCCGAAATAGGCCATCAAAAGTTCTTCCTTTCCACCCACCCCTCTCATCTGATTACCATATCTTTTCAAATGAGCGATCGAGTCTCCATGCCCGTCGTATTTCTCGAATTTTGGCATTTTAAAGCCAACGTGCAAATGAACATGAGGAAACATGCACAGATCGGAGTACGAAACACTCTTTTGGCCACTCAGGCCTTGCATGTTCTTAAGACTTTGTTGGAGACTTTTCATTTTCCGAGCCATTTCTTCTTGCTCGGGGTTTCTTGCCGTTCTTTACTGTTCTACTAGAGACTCGTGTCGTGGGTGCTGAGGCTAGGAGTTTGAGGTGACATGAGCTGTGTCTAGCTGAAATTGTGGTACTTGAAAAGTGAAAGCTGGAGGCTCGAAGCATGGTCTGGGCACTGTTGGCTGTGCCGTAGTAGAGACTGGTGGTGCGGCGAATACTGTAGGAGATACTCCCGGAAACGGTGCATAGGGGCGAACCTCAGAAGGCATACCGGTGAAATTAGCTGATATAGTAGGGTACCCAAACGGGATGAATGGGTTGGTTATGGGAATAGGGACGTTGGAGGTTCCGCTTGTCTTGGGAAGCAGTTCAGGAAATTCGGGGATTGTACCGGGAGGTTCTTTGCCATTAGACCAAGCGTCCCACATTTCTAACATACGGCAGCACAACATTTTGTTTTCTTCAGCAGCTGCTGATTCTGACTGTGGATAACCGATACCGGGCTATCTTCTAAAGGGTTAATAATTGGTAGATGACTTTCAAAAGCCATAGGAATAACGCCTTTGGATCTTGTGAAGTAAGGATGGGAAGCCAGATTACCTAAAAACCAACCACCTGAAACAGGACCTATCTAATTGCCACACAACAAGCTAGTAAGTTTGAGAAATTTAACAGATAGGGAATCGCATATTTGGGATGAAATGCACCTGAAAAGTTTAATGTTTCTAAATGTTTTGCAACAGCTGTGTGTTTCATCCCGGTGCATTGCATATTGCTGTTTTTCGCTCTTTTATTTTTCACTCTTTTCTCTCTTTTTCACTCAAATTTTCTCTTTTTTTTTTTTCATTTCTGGTTTATTCTTTCATTCAGATTGTCTATGGCTATAATCGAATCTGATGGGGATTGCCTACGTATCACAACGCTGCATGAATCAGATCATTACGTAGTTAAAAAATAAATGCGAAATAAAAGAAAAGAAAATTTTAGGTTTTCAATATTTTCATTAAATAAAATATTTTTGGGTTTTTCTATTACAAAGACTCGGAAATACTGATGATAAAAAAGGAACATACAGACTCAAAAATAGAAAAACAAACAGACTTAACAGACTCGAAAAGGTGAAATACAGACTCAAAGCCAAAAGAAAATCCGGAATACATAAGAGCCTCCAATGCTATTCTGGGGGCCCGCGGGACATTAGTCGGCCCGATGCGGGCCTGCGTGCAATCTCTTCTTGAAGGTACTCTAAATCAGCCATCACCTGACAGACAAAAGTCATCACAGCGGCAAAGAACATAGACCTGGTCATATCTTCGCATTCATGTCACTTCATTGCGACATAATAAGCAATTTCTTTAATCCTCATTCTAATAACACCTTTTTCTTGGAGTAGGCATCCAATTTGCTGAGACCGGGCCTCCAAGACCTGCGTGGCTGTATGGTTTTGGACTTGCAATTTTCTATATGTCTTCTTTCAATCGGCAAATCAATGTAATCAATGCTCTCTCTCTGTTTTGAAATCCTTTGCTTGCCGGACCATTTCATTCTCGAGATTAGTTAGTTTTTTCCTTAAGATTAGGACCCTTCATACCTTTGCTTTAATTGATAAGCAAACCTTGTCCGTTCTTCTGCATTCTTTACCAACTTTGCCCGGGCTTTTGCCAATTCATCCTCGGCCTTGGCCAGATCAAACCCATAATCAAGCACTTTTCGCCTCAAATTGCTTATGAGTTTTTCATCTTTTTCGCTTCTTGCTAGGTTTTCAGTGGCTATTTTCATCTTATGAATCTGAGCTTGAAGGGCTTCATTTTCTCGGGCCAACCTTTTCTTTTCTCCTTCATCCACAGAGGCTTGCAAACCACTATCAAATTTAAGGTTTCTGATTTGATCTTTTAGTTTGCTTATGGTAGTCCGCTAGTCATTCTCTTTGGCTAACCAAGCCCACTGTTCCTGCGATGCGTCAACAAATTCTTGGATATGTGGCCTCTTGGTCGGCCTTTGAAATTCATCATTCCTCGCGACTCTCTTCCCATACCAAGCAAGATAACCAAGCAAAACCTCGCCCCTGGATAAATCGCGTACTCGGGTGTTTGCCCCCAAATACTGGCATTCGTTCCAAACATGGCAAACCACTTCTTCAGGAAATAGAGCCTCTGAGCGGATTTCGACCACATGAATACTAAGATCTTCATCTCTAGGAACTGTTTGGCATCTTCCAAGTTGTCTCAAAACCCGGTATGGGGCATAGGGTTGGATGCTTCGGAGACCCATTAGGAGGAAGTAGGGACCGGTGGCGGGCATGTAAACAATCTCATCAACAAGAAGCCAACCCAATGTCCACTCTATCTGATCCGTGGTTATAGAACGAAGGCGGGATATCCAGTCTTTGACCCATTCTGGCATTTCGAATCCTGTCACTCGTGTACCAAACTCTTTGATGCAGTGTTTTCCCATAGACCCACAGTTCATGTATCGGGGACGGTGACAAAGGTGTTCGATCATCCACATTTGCAATAATAGATTACAACCCTAAAAAACCTTATTCCGTCTTTACAGGATATGAGAGCTCAGAATATATCTGATAGGATCATGGGTGCGAGGGTACTCTTGGCCTGGGTATTCAAAACATGGACAACGCTAGCTACGCGCAAATCAATGTTCCCGTCCTTCCTTGGAAACACTAAGAGGCCTAAAAATGCCACCATGAAGGCAAAGCATCTATGCGTTTCCCACTTTGATCAGTTTCCTCTACTGCAGAGTCCACTTTCTGGGTCCTCGAATCCCCTTAAATGCCCATTCTGCTGGTATAGAGAGTGAAAAGTGGAAGCTCCACCTGCTAGACTTTCAATCTTGATCTGCTTGTTTATTTTCAGTAAATCTAGAAACTTGTGGGGAGTAATGGTCCTTGGAGAAATCAGGTACTTGTGTCTTAATCCCTCTGTACTCCCGGCATAACCCGCCATTTCTTCTAAGGTAGGTGTAAGCTCAAAATTTGAGAAGTGCAAAACATTGTGAGCGGGGTCCCAGAATGACACTAATTCCTTTATCAGATCACTTCTAGGTTTAATCTTCAATAGTCTAGTGAGTGCCCCCACGTATCGGTTGACCTTGTCTTGCCCTTGTTTTCCCAAATCCTCCCACCACATGTGGAGTGCCAGCGGAATCTGATCTATAACCTTTACCAGTAAACTCTGAACAATGCTCATTCTGCACATTTTTAAATTAGGGTGACTGGGTTAAAACATGTGAGTTTTGTTTGAAAACTGATACTTTTCTTGCAAAATTCAATTTAAAACAAATCATGGCTACTTTTGCAAACACGGCCCTTCAGCACTTCAGAAGGGAAGATTTTAGGGCTGTGTTTGCTCAGTGGCCAAAAATTGGAAAAAGGACCATAGGTGGCTATTCTTAAAAAAATGGCTTTCCTGCGTCCCGTAGGAACATTTCTGGCTATTTCAACAAAAACGGAATCACCTAACTTTATTTATGACAAAAATGACGATATTTTCATATTTTTTGTTTGCAAAATCGGGGCCGGACCCGATGAAGGTTGCCTACGTATCCCACATCTGTTGAGAATCAAACCCGCGTAGTTCGGTAAGTTTTGACGAAACATGAAAATATGATTTATTTTGAAATGCCTTTTCCCTTTTTTTAAAAAAAAAATTTCGGCAGAGTTTCAGAATAATTTGAATACCGGGGTTTTTAGAAACGGGTGATTTCTCTCTCCTACCTCAATCTTGGTTTTTCTTGATTTTTCTTCCCTATTCTAGACGCCGGTCAACATGCAAGCCGAAGCAAATAAATGTACAAGTAGCACGTAAAATGCATCAGGATGGTTTTTTTTATTTCGGGTACACCTGTCCTAGACGGACCCAACTCCTGTGTTGAGTCTCCAAAGTGA